CTTCCTTCTGAGGAGTGGCTGGTGGGTTTGAACCGCCAGCCTTCTGGTTAGCTGTCAAGTGCCTTAGGCACTATGCTACCAGAGCGCCTAAGAATCAATTTGTTGTTATGTGCTGTTGAGTCAGTCCTGACTCATAGTGACCCCTCCTTGGGTTTCCGAGGCGGTATCACTACAAGAAGTAGATTGCCCAACTTTTTTTCCGAGGAGTGGCTGGTGGGTTTGAACCTCCAGCCTTCTGGTTAGCAGTCAAGTGCTTTAGGCACTATGCTACCAGAGTAATAATTACATGAATGGTGAATCAGAAGTTTTTGCAATTACTTATTTCTTAAAGGCTTACTTACAACCACATGCAAAATTGGTTAATGATTCGGCTTCTTATGGATTCTATTTGGGTAATTTCCTTTAATTGGGTCCAATTTGCTTTCTTAAAGATAAGCTAAAATATCATGTTTCAAGATTTTAAAATCCATATTTATTGTTCAGGAAAGATCATGTATTGAAAGAAAAAGCCATAAATCCATCTATTTTACAGGGCAGACTTAAATCATTTTGATAAAACTTCCCCAGTCCCAGTTCAAAGTGCTGAAAGACTGTATCTTAATTCATCTTTTCATATCTAGAATCCAGCACATTCCAGGCTAATAACATATGCTTCACAAATTTCTTTTGAATTACATTAAAACTGGGCTTAAGGGCCTAAAATTGGAGACAAGAATGTCAAAAATTTGGGAGAGTAAATGGGCTATCAGAAACTCCCCTGAAATATAAAGTCTATCTAGGGATGAGCTGACATCTCCATATCCTCATCCACACCCAGGTTCCTGCTCACCTGGTCCTGGCTGTGATCTTCCGTCGCCTTTTAGGGAACTGCCCTGAGTCTGATTATTTTAGAGGATTAGTTGAAGATAAGCTAGTAGGACAAATGAAGCTCACAGTGATATTAGATATAGAGTTGACAACTTGCTTTTTTATGTGCTATTATGTCCCTTATATGTGTCCCATGGTCTTGGTGGTGCCATGGTCAAGGCATTCAGCTGCTAACCAAAAGGTCAGTGGTTCAAACCAGCCTCTTGGTGGGAGAAGGATGAGGCAGTTTGCTTCAGGATTCACAGTCTC